TGCTATACAAATAAAATTTGGTTGATCGATCCACGAGAGGATGTGACATCATCAACATCATCATCATCATCATCAGAAGGTGTACCATGCTGATTCGGTTCTCCCAGCCCATCCTCTTCAGGCCGGCAGCAGCCAGGATGATGGCAGCAAAGTCGTCCTTCTCATCCAGCTTCTTCAGACGCGTGTTCAGGTTCCCACGCTGAGAGTGGCCGTTAAAGAAACACAACACCTTAGAGGAAACTAGAAAACATTTTGTTTTCTACACTCCCTGTGTTTTTCTACACTCCTTTAACTTTTTCACTTTTAAAGCCAAAGACTTCAAAGTATTTTAAAAGGTATTTGAGGTAACAGACAAAAACAAAGTAGGGCATAATTATGAAGTCATTTTGAATTTAACTGTTTTGCATATAAATGCCTGCAATACTTTTCAACTTTATTTTTGTAGCCTGTAGCTACGTTTCCATTACAAATGTTCACAAAACTTTGTCAATATTCCATGAATAAGTCTGTTCATGCAATGAGTTCTTAAAAATATGAGACGCTGTCATCCTCCAACCACTTCCTGTCGTCTTCTTTGTGGTTTGGGTCAGTGGCAACATCTGGTTGTTGATCATGTGACTTGTGTTATCCTAAAAGTGCAGTTTTATGTTGCAGTTTTGCAACATAAACCAATTTCAATACGATGTGAAGCCCACCTCATAACAGCAGCAAAACTTTTAATGAAAAAAACAAGAGTTTTTGTTTTTTTTTGTCAAAATTGTTGTGTTTCCATTAAGCAAATTTAATTTTGAAATCTCAAATTGAGCAATTATAAGGTCAACGGAATCGCAGTTTGTCTTTTTTTCATGCACTTCACAGATATCCATCACTTGTATGGAAAAAGCACACAGAATGAGACAAAGTTCAAATCAGATCAATACTCTGGTCATCTCCATGTCACAGTGATGAGGCCTAACAAGTTCAGAGTGAAAAGAGGAAAACTGTCAGAAAGGATACGATGTCCTTGAACTCCAGATGGGGAAACCTTTTCTTCAGCTGGGCAGCGCGGCGTAATGAACTCGTGCCAATAACACTGCGCGCGCGCGCACACACACACACACACACACACACACACACACACACAGATCCATAGTATGAAACATCATCTGTTCATTTAGCCATAACCTACAACACCAAGTTTCCTAAACGAGCCCCACCTTTTCTCTGGAAGAGTGTCCAGAGTTTTTCCTGTGTTGCTTGGATGGAGCACCACTGCATCATGGGGGTTTTCCCTCCTGAAACAAAGGACACAAGTGGTACATGCTGCTTGACCCTCTGTCCCCTCCATCTGCCCACTTACATGAAGGCACTGACTAATAATAGACTTATTGTGAACACAGAGCCACTTTCCAACTCTGCTGCTGGGAAGAAATACTAAAGTTTGTGGTAGAAACTGGAATTATGTAAAATTTGTAAACGTGGCATTTTGGTTCTTAATAAAAATTATATTTTAATGTTTACCAGGTTTTTGAAAAATTAAAAATCATTACAATCAATCATAACATGTTTAAATAAAATGTGTGACAGATTCTAATGGATACAGGTTAAGTAATACAAAAGTAACAAATCTGCTTCAGTGAAAGGTGAACGTCTCCGTCCCCCCCATGTTGGTGCTCAATAATCTGAATAACAGAGTTACTGTTCGAGTGAAGCCCCCCGCCGCCACCCTGCAGTCTGACACTCATCATCATGCTATTTATTCTGTGCCTCTCTGGCTGTGTTTATGCCTTCTCAGACAAGTGATGAAAGTATTTTTTTTACTTTAGACTGTAAAGCAATTACTCAACTTCATGTGAAAACGTTCTGTAGGATTTTCTGCTCCTAATTAATAATCTTCCTCAAGAGAACAAAACCTGTCATGACTGTATCAGTCACTCCAGGAAGGTGCAACTATTAATGCAAATTCATTCAGTCACAAATCCTGCACGGCCCTGACATTTTCATTAGTCATCACGCCTTAATGTCTTCTGTATTTACTTCTTCTTTTATCAATTGCTGCAACTTGGCTGAATTTTGACCAATCCTCCCTGCCCCCTTCCAATCTAACTTCCTGTTTCATGACATTTTTTGAAAGGATGAGTTCTGTATTACCCGCCCCCATTGCTAGAGTTATTTGTTTCCTTGCTTCAATGGCTGCATTTACATTAATCTTAAAATTGTACATTTTATTTAATAAAAACATAGCAATTATAAAATTTTGATTTTTTTTTTTAACATGAGCAGAATATCAACAAGGATTTGCACATATTTGTAATGGAAATTCAGCTATTATTGCTCATAATGTGTCGACACCATGAGCCTTTATTTTCCTCATCCATATTGAGTGATACACAGAAAAGCACAGAATTGTTGCTCATTTCCTCTCTGCGGGGTTGTGTGTGTGTGTGTGTGTGTGTGTGTGTGTGTGTGTGTGTGTGTGTGTGTGTGTGTGTGTGTGTGTGTGTGTGTGTATGGGAGGGGGGCCAGGGGGGGCATCACTAAGCATTTGTGTTTCAGTCATCAAAATGGCCAGCAGCAGCCCTGCTTGTGGGCAAACTTCCTTTAACTATGCTTGTCAGCAGCAACTCCCCACCATAGCAACGTTCTTCTAGAGCTGATGACTTCCTGTTTGCTCAGTAACAGGAGCAGTACTTCCTTGGTGTCTGAGCTGCAAACAGAACAAGATGTGACCTGAAACGCTCCAGAGACTGCAGAATGTGGACCTACTTCAGCACAGCTCCGATGGTGAACCCTGCAGGCAAGCTGGTGGGAAGATCCTTCAGCGAGTGAACGACCAGGTCGACCCTGCAGGTCACACAGGAAGGACATCACTTACACCAGCGGCGGCCATGTTGCACTGGAATAATGCATTCATTCAGCTGCAGCCCGGAAGCAGCTGCTACATCTGAGGCTGACTCCAGGTTACACTGGAGGGGTTTCCCTCTGGAGGACTTCCTTTAAAGCATGCTCTGCAAAAGTATTCATACCCACTCACATTTTGTCTCAATATATTTCACTGGATTTTGATGTGATAGACACAACGAGGACAGAATTGCGGGGGAGTAAAATTGAACCTGTTTTTTTATTTTTACAATTTAAAACTCTGAAATTAATCTGTATTAAGCATTCCTCAATCAATATTCTGTAGAAGCAGCAGCTTTCAGATTTTCATTGTGAAAAAAACAGGTATCATTTCCCCTCCACTCCACAACTTCATGCTACTTTGTGTTGGCCTGTCAAAGAAATGAATTGATTAATCGCAATGATCAATTATTGAAATAATCGTCAATGAATTTAGTAGTCATCATTTACTAGAGCATACAGATTTCAGAACATGCTATATGCTGAAAGAACACAGTAGGAGATTTAATTAAGTCAAAACTGGACAATAAATATATATTGCATATAAGATAAAAAAAAAACGTTCTTCATCTATAAATCTGCTCCACCCAGAACTCCTCAAGTGGCAACTTTAGTTTCAACTGGTTCAAATTCTGTAATAAAAGTTCCTAAGCGCCTTTGCTACACATGATCAAGTGTACATCAAAGTAATGCTGCTATTGCATTTTAGGTAATAAAATATTTCTTACTTTAAAAAAAATTATTTGCATTTTTAAGTGTTTTCAAATATTGTAGAACATAAGTAAAAAGTGGTTAAATAAAAAAATCTGCAGAGACTGCCAATTTTTTTTTTTAATCTCATTAATCAATTAACTGTGAGAACAATTTATTATCAAAGTAATCGTTAGCTGCTGCCCTGTTCTGTCACAAAAACTCCCTTAGAAGCAGATGAAGGTTGTGGTTGTAAAATGAAAAAGGCGAAAAAGATCAAAGGGTGTGAATATGTTTGCACATCAAATGTGCAGACAGGCCCAACAGCAACATGCATTTTCTGTTATGAAATGAATGAATTTATTTGCATTTTTATTTATTTGCATCAACTTGGTTGCTATTCTTCCTTTATTCCAACAAAGAGCCTTAAGTGTCAGCTGGACCTTTACACAGTACATAGGAGTCTGCAGTCAGTGTCACACTTACTCATTCCTCTCCAGGGCGTTCTCCAACTCTTTGGTGAATAAACTCTTCTCACCAATCTGAAGGAAAGATTTTTAAAATAAAAACAATATTTATTATCCAGACCTGCAAGTTCCTTACTTTTCTAGACTGCACATATAACAACAAAGTAAAATCTGCTGGATGTAGACCCCAGGTTAGACTTAAACTGTTTGAAACTTTGAGCAACACAGAGTACATATGACACCGTAAACAATGATCTTACCTTTGATAAAGCTCTGTCGAGGATTATATCTCCTGTTGTTGACATGGCAACTAGAAGACATAAGATATTTATTTATGATAGTTGGGATCAATACACGTCTAAACAGTGAGAGCTCCACATCTGCAGCCATCACACAGGGCTCTCTGCTCCAGGGAGCAGGGCAGTGAAGATAAGATCACTTTGCTCCCTGTAAATCACCTTATTTCTATCAAATTATGATCTGTGGCTGTTTCTAAATGTACTACAGAATGTAGAAAGAAAATATATTATAGTTTGTGTGGTAGTAGCAGTAGGATAGTGATTCTTCATGACAGACAAAGCACATATTATGAGCAAATGGCCAGGAAGTCTAGTTCCTAAAGAGGAAATTCTGAAGGAATGATTATTTGACAGTTCTGTATGCGACTCATTTTCCAAACAAATTGGGCAATCATCACATTTTATAGCCTCAGTGTAGTCATGGGAATTGAAAAATGATTTAGCTTTTGGTTCTTTCTGGTATATCTATAGCTATATTAATTTTGATTAGCTACTTGCACTGATTTTAAAAATCAATAAATATTCTGTAACACTTTATTTGATTGAATGTGCACAAGACTGTCATGACACAAACATGACATAACACCTGCCATGAACATGAAGGAGTCTTCATGAATGTTTATGACAGTTGTCATGAAGTGTCATTCGGTAAATAATGACACTTTTAATGCAAAGTTGACTATTTTAATGGACTTTTTATACAAGTGTTGATGCAACTTTGCATTAAAAGTATAATTATTTGGCAAATAGTGATACTTAGAAGACATTATTTAGCAAATAATGATACTTTTAATGCAATTTTACATTAAAAGCGTCATTATTTATCAAATGACACTTCATGACAACAGTCAAACATTCATGAAGAAGATTTATCTTTATGGCAGGTGTTGTCACATTTATGACAGTGTCATGTCAGTGTTATGCACACCCGTCAAATAAAGTGTTAAAAATAATTGTTAATGGGCTCATGTGTCGATTTCTTCATTAATTTTGTTGCCAAAAAGCGGCATTTCAACAAACGCTCCTTTTTCTCCAGACAACATTTTTGCTATGTTTTCGCCATCAACACAAAGGAGACAGATACCTTTGTTTCTATTCAAATAATAGAAATCCCTAATCAATAAAAAAAAATTTAAAAGACAAAATAAGAAAGACTTAAGTTTGACATAATTTACGTGACAATGCAACGTGCAATAAATGAAGTCGTATATTAAAACATATAAGCTGGTTCTTTTTCATTTTCAGTCAAAGTCATTTCCTCTCCTTGCAACTAATTAACTAATTACTAGTGTGGATGTAAGCATATAATTTACAGATTAGATTAAAACAGTCACAATAAATGAAACTTGTGCATCCATTCATGCCAACGATGACTGGAGGTAAACCACAGACTTTATTCAGACTTGGTCTGACTTCACCATCTACTTTTGTCTCCTGGCAGAAGAATCCACAGCTCCAGCTGCTCACCTATTTCCAGGTGGAAATCCGGGTAGAGCTCCTTCAGCTTGTCAGCCACACTGTCAGTCTGGATGCGCGCCAGCTACAACAGAAGAAGATAGAAGGAATTAGTTTTTATTTTATTTTTTATTAGTTTGACCATATCTAGACAGCAACAAATTCTGAAATTGATACGGAGGGCAGGATGAGGAGTTCTTGTCAAGACAAAGCCACTGTGTTATCTCTGCAGACATCCTGCTCAGTTGCCTCCGCAGCCGCATGACCACATCAGATAATACAAACTCAACTGACATCCTGGATCTCTGAAGCATCTCGACCCAGGTTCAGAACGAGAGGCAAAGAGAGAGGAGAAAATGTAATGGAGGAGAAGGAAAAACTGAGGGTACCTGGCTTTTGCGAGTTCCGATCCTGATGACCCGGCTGACTTTGCCGTTCCCGTCCTGACAGAATGAAAAAAGACAATTCAAACAATCTCAGTCAAAGAATCTTTGACCGTTCCGAGCACAGCACCTTCCCTCTGCTGTCCCTCACCCTGATGTACTTATAGGGTCCTTCCTCCATCACTCTGGTTCTTTGCTCTGCGCTGCTGAACTGTAGAGCTTATTGTGTCTGGGCCTGCCTGCTGTGTCTTGGTAAAAGGCTCTGTGCTGACTGAGGTCATATAGTCTCAAGAAACAGTGGTGTGACTCACTGATCCTCTCCTCCTCCCACCCTCCCCCTTCTGGACACCCACACCTACAGACCTCTGCTTCTGACAGATAAGTGTGCCGTTAGAAAAGGAAGGGATGGGCATCTGAGACGGAGGGCCTGATGCCTGCAGGGTGTGGTCATAGTGAGGGCTACATGTGGAAGACCTGGGTCACCGTTTTTATGAATGGGAATTCCATTCATAAAAACTGAGAGTCAATATAAAGAGACAACATTCTTACTACTCAAGAGTGGAGACATACGCAAGCCAAAATAACCAAATCCTGAAAACTTTGTGACTCTCAGGACTTTGTGTGAGGTTTGAACTGGGGAGTCAATTGGTTGAAAAAGAAGAAATTATCTAACGTTGGTCACCAAAAACTAGGAAACAGCTGAAAGAGACACAAATACTAAAAAACGTTTGAGTAAATTCAAATTCAAAAATACTTTCTTGATGCCAAAGATAAATTAAATGTTGTTGTGGCCCATATTACTTCAAATTCTTTGAAGTCTTTGTACAGTAACACAAATACAGTTTTATCAAATAAATATACATAATAGCAATTAGTCATTCAAAGTATTATTAGATTAATTCTCTGTAGGCACATTTATTTGCCCAGGAGGTTCAAGAGAAGGCAAAAGCCACAACTGCCATTTTAGCACACCTTCCACTTTAGAGTAATGTCTGATTTAGCAGAGCCCCAGCATAACTTCAGCTTTAGCGTAACCTTAGTTCTAGCATAACTTCCATATTAACATGACTTCAGTTTAAGCAAAACACGTTTTAGCATGAATTCCGTGTTAGCATGACTCCCATTTAGCTCAGTTGTAGCTTAACTGTAGTTTTAGCAAAACTTTAGTCTGAGCTTAACTTCCACTTTAGCATAGCTTTCATTTTGGCTTTTGTTGCTGCATTGTGGATTTTGTTTTTTATCAACCCTTCTGGTTCTCTGTATTTTATTCGACCCTGAAACCAAATCCGTTGATATTCTGGTGTGCCACCTCCTCACCAAGTTCTGGAAGACCCAACCTGAACTCTCAGGTAAAATACAATTTTAAACTATAGAGCACCAGTGTTCTTGGACACAATGAAGCTGGTACAAAATATTCATGGAGTAAGAGGGTGTCAACCAAGAAAGACTGTTCCAAAATTGTCACATTTGAGCTTAACTGTTTTTATTTATTTATTTTATTGTGACTACATCTGATTGGGTCCACCTTATGAGGCAAAAGACTAAAATTTGTTCTACATAACCATATATGATTTATTCTGTTTGTGAAATTGTAACAAATTCATTGAAAATCCTCTCTAAAATTACAACAGATTGATTCATCAAGGACTGTAATAATTTATAGTGAATTAACGTTCTTCAAACAGGATCTCCTTATTGTAGTAGAGGAAGCTACGAATGAATGAATGAATGAATGAAAGTCTATTTTTATTTCTAACAAAAAGGAGAAAATAACTAAAAACAATTAAAAGAAAAGGTTTTTAAAAATCACAAGTCAGCTCGAAAAGGAGCAGGAAGAAGTATGAATTTACTAAATCCCTCTCCGTTATTACGCTATAATTCATTATAATTCATATGCACGCTTCTGTTCAACGTTATGTTTTGTGAAAATCAGAAGTGACAGTCTCTTGCTAAACTTCGACTCGCCTTTCTCCTTCGCTTTTCTGTCCAATCCAAACTTCTCTTGACTAGCAAACACGAACAAGAGCCAATCAGCGCGCCATAGCCAAGTGACGTAGGCGGAAGTTAACCTAAGCGCCATGAACATACAGAGAGCAGAAATGAGGGTGATCAGATTAAAAACCTACCTGTGAGCTCGTCTCTTCTGACATGTCGGCTATCTGTTGAACTCAGGTTGTTTTGTGGGACTCAACAGGTTACTTTGTTCGACACTCTGCAAGTAAAAAGAAAATCCTTGCGAATTCTCAGAGCTCTACTCATTCTGCTCCTCATGAGAATGAGTGTGGATCTTTGTGACGTCATCACACAACGTAGAGGTCATTTCCTCTTTCTGACTAGCGCCCTCTAGGACAGAGGTATCCAAACTTTTTGCCCCGTGGGGAAAACTCGACAAGACAAAAGCCCTTAAAAAAAAAAAAAAAAAAAAAACGCAAAATAATTTTTTGTGAATTATTTTTCTTTTTATCTGCTCAGCAAATATTTTCTTGAAACAAAGCAGAAAATAAATTATTGTTGGATAAAACGGGTCTCTGAAGTTAGAGCTTCCTAACATTTTGGGTCGAATGTTTTCTATTTAGTTGGTCTAAAAATTGATTTCAGTCCATTCTCATCAACAAACACAAGAACCTCTTCAGAAGATTATTGCTTCTATTTGTCTAAGTTTAATGAATTGACCTATTGTTGAGTAAATAATTGCTAGATGCGTGTGGCCCCACAAACAATAATATTAAAATTAATGAAAAAAAAACAGTCTAAAAAGAAATATTTATAATGCTGCATAATAAATAAGAACTGCTGAATGTCTTTATTGGTTCATCCACGCCCTTATTTGTTTTGCAGCATGTTGCATTTTCCATTGTCCTTTTTTTGTTAGTTCATAGCCATATACAAAATTGTCAGTTTAGTAGGGATTGTATTTTTCATGTAGACTAAATAAAATCACAGTCAGATTTTATAAAAATATTTCAAATAGAAAAAACAACCATAAAAAAACACATTTTTATTTTCTTGGGAGTGCAGTATCTGGGATATAGCACCACCTACAGTCCCCCTTGCGAAGTCACTGGTTGAAGAGGGCACTATGAGAAAAATTAACTTTTTAACAAACTGACATACCTTACTGCGGATAATTTGCCCATACTAAACTGAATAACACAGCCTGCATTCGATAAGAGTAAAAATGCGACGATAAAATGAGTCTAATATTAATATTTTTGGTAAAATATATTTTTTCACAATTTGGAATATGTTTAATAATATTTATAAAACTTTATTTATGCAGGTTGACCCATTGAGATCCAAGAGCTCACTTATAAGAGAGACAGACCTGTTTTCAGAGAAAAAAAAATACAAACACAGTATAAGCACACATAATTAAAACATTTGACTCAATTAAACAAGTTAATACATTTTTAACAAGAGCTTATACTGTTGTGGTTTTCGTTTCAGTGCCATAATGATAGTATTTTTGCTGTTGGGGTTGGTAAAACAGTCTAGTTTGGGATATTTTCTGAGAAATAAACGCCTGCAGTAACAAAAAAACACTCCTACCCTACACTTCACTTCTCCACCAAGGCCAACATTTTGGAGCCCACGTCACCGGTTTCCACGGTGGGCTGATCCAGCGAGTCTCTTCCGGTGGATACGTGGCTCTCCGCTGCCATATTGACGCTAACTAGCTAACGCTTCACCTTACTCGAAGTCAGCTGTATTCGCACCCTGGCATTCCAGAGTGACGATAAATCTCCCCCAAACCACATACACCACGGACTGAAGAGCGTCCACACATAAAGAGAGACTAAACATGGTGAGTAAAAGCTGAAAGTCATTGTAAATCGTTTTAGTTGTTGTCGGGCCTTGCAGTTATCATAACAGTGGCTAACGCTAGCACTTTTGTAGTCTGTATTCTCTTAAACGGCAACAAGAGAAATTCAGCGGCTGCTTCTGCTGACTGCCGAGGCTGACGTTGTGAATATTAGTACACAGCCAATGAATGTTTCTTTTTTACTAAGTCAGTGCGACATGAATCAGGGATATGTAGTCTGCTGCAGACACTGCTGACGTTAACTAGCCTCACATGCTAGCGCTAGTTATCTTCTGTCACTAGCTGGACCCGAGCTAAAGCGTTCAGACTGTCCCCTCGTCAGCCTCCACGACCAACTCTTCTCATACAAAGTATAAACCTGTACATATGCTCTTTAATATAGTCCCCAAGCGATGACAGCTATGCTATGCTAACCAGTTTTAGCTTGTCTAGAAGCTCAACACGTAGTCAGTTTGCCTTCAACGTCAACGTGGAACAAAAGCAGCTTCTTTCTTTAGGCTGCGATAATGTTCATTAATTTCAATCGTGTTTGAAAGGTGCATGTAAAGCTTAGTTTTCATGGAGGTGGCTTTATATTTCTTAGAGGCATGTTGAGGTATCCCAATATTGTAACGCATTCTGAACAAACAAAACACTGTCTCAAATGTTGCTTTCTGTGTACATATCGTCATGTCTAAAGCATCGTCCACTTTATGCTGGACACATGACAGAAATCACAGAGAAGGCAGAAAATTAATTTCTAATTCTTCTTTTCTCGTTAAGATTATCCAAATAATTAAAGTTCTAAAGCATTAAATATTCCCTGTGACAACATTTTAACACAACGTGAAAGTAAAGGCTCACCCCAATTTTGAGGATGTACTGGGATTCGTGTAGACCGACTTGTTGCCATTTTGTCCCAATAAGTTAACCCTGTTGCGTCTATGTTCCTATCTAGGGCTGCATAGTTTAAGGAAAATTTGAAATTTTGATCTAATTTAAAATAATGCAATGATGATACATATTCTCGGAAACCCATCATTTTCCCCAGTTTTTTTTATTTTGTGTCATCAGTGACCCCAGCAGTCTGTATGTTTATTGCTTAAACCTACACCTGTTTTGGCCTGAAAGCTCATTCAGCACTGTAACCTGCATTAAAACTGTAATGGTGATTGTAATTGAAAATATATTTCAGCTCTAACATGTCAGTTTACTATTTCTACTCATTAGGTATTGTCAAGAGCTAGAGAGATTAATTTTCATCAAAGTTTAAAATCGTATGTCTAATGAAATCAGGTTTATTTTCTGAGAACTCTTGAATGACACTATGGTAAATGGACTGAACTTATATAGTTCGTATATACTATGTTTGTTTTGATTCTGATCCGCATCTGAAACAGTTGACTTTTATGAATTATGAACTATTATTATGATGTTTGATCAAAACAAAATAACTTTGACTTAACTTTGAATAACTGTAGAAAATCATTTGAAATCTGTGCTTGACAAAAAGAATCATCTGGACTGGCTATATGACACACCCTGAATGGCACTATTTTATTCTCAACTTTTTTGGAAGCCAGTTAAGCAAACTATGAAAAAATATGAGATCAGCACCCACTAGACATTTATTTAGGAGTTTGTAAATGAACACACATGATGGTCCCCAGCCAAGACACTTGGGGGAATCGGCTTTCTTTTATATCTTAGCAAAAAATCTTAAGGAAATTCCACAAAGAAACCAATGAATAGAGTTTATGGAATCATTCCCTAAAAAAACCAAAAGCTCCAATACAGGTAAGAGGGATGGTTGGGATGGTCCCACTTCACCACATTAGCTCCCCTTTATCTTCTAAAAGATTATGATGCTGCTATAAACCAGTGTCTCTAAATGTATCACTGACGTAGAAGTTCTGAATGTATGGAACCTAAATCATGAGCTAATATTTATCACACTTCAAGCTGCTGTTTTTTAAATTATTCATATTGTTGATATTGCCAAAGTTGTGCAGTCCTAAAAGTGACACCAGACAGTCTATTCTAAAACCAAATGCTACCCAGAAAATCCCTTGACCAGTCCTGCATCTTGTAACTGACTGATCAATGTTACTGTGACAGAATATTTATTTCCGAAATTATTATTTAAGAAATAAATTCTCCATTCTAGTTAGGATCCTGATCTCTAAATGAGAGATGCAGAAAGGGAATGTCTGCAGGTGTTTCATTGGTTGACCTATATCCCTCCACCCACCCCTGCAGGTGCTGTTGGCAGCGGCGGTGTGCACCAAGGCCGGGAAGGCCATCGTGTCGCGGCAGTTTGTGGAAATGACCCGGACGCGGATCGAGGGCCTGTTGGCCGCGTTCCCCAAGCTGATGAACACGGGCAAGCAGCACACCTTCGTGGAAACAGACAGCGTGCGCTACGTGTACCAGCCGCTGGAGAAGCTCTACATGGTCCTCATCACCACCAAGAACAGCAACATTCTGGAGGACCTGGAGACACTCAGACTGTTCTCCCGCGTGGTAAGAAAAGGACACTCGGAACATTTAATGCACGCCACAAAAAATGGTATTGGAGATGCTTTAATAATAATATGGCACGGATTGAGGGTTTGACATTTCTTTGCCTTTTCTTTCTGTCAAGCCATCGTTGCTGTGCAATACTCATGGATTGTGCTTGTCTACCAACAAGTCTGGCTAAGCATTCAAAAGCTTGTTTATCATCACCTAGAGGGACAGTATTATGTAAAATAAATTTTTTTGAGCTTTACATCATGTTATGATGTTATTCTCTCATCACAAACACACCCGGAGTGTTGCCTTGATTATTCTGCATTCATCTCCTATGGCAGCCATTCAGCTGTGCAAAACACCTGGTTGAACCCGGCTCTGCCTTCGAGGCACAGCCCTCCCCAACTCGGCTCCTTCAGACTAGCCAGCAGCAATTAGCAAACATCTGGTGGAACTGCATCTGCTGAGCTCCTTAAATGAGCTGCTTTTCAGTGCAAGGCTGGTTAAAAACATTGTTAAAGGGTCAATAGAGGAGCCATGTTGTGATGACTTCCTGAAGTCGGAGTTTCAGGAAGAGCAGAAGTTTTTAAAGTTTTAATTCTAATTTTATTCTCTGATGGTTCTGAAAAACAGAACAGAGCTGATAAACCTCAAAGAAGGGAGATGAACCATGTTGATGGAGCAAAGCTCACATGCACACACACACAAATACACACACTCATGGGTTTCATTTGAAAATTTCAAGATTTTTAAAGAGGAAAAAGGATATATTGATGGAAGTGATTTATTCTTTCTGTCATTATTCTGGCATTTAACAAATAGAAAAAAAATTGGAGACTCTAAAGCAAGAGAAGTTTAGTCTGGTTTAACTTCAGACAATAAAAAATGTGTGTGCAAACCTTTTCTTGTAGTGTTTCTATCAGAAGTTGTAGGTTTTTCTTCTGGTTAACAAAGACAGACACCATGTTGATCCACAGGAGAACTGAACCTGTTTGTTTAGTCAGTGGCCATCCTCCTCCACCGCCACATTTACAGTAAAAGACAAAATATTTTTCAAAAACTAAAGTTGTTGTTTTTCACAAAACTTTGAAAAACTGTCAGATAGTGTGTTTGTTTGGCAAAAGCTAAAGGCACTTGAAAGATTTCACAGTATTTCTAGTCATATTTGGTTACATTATGTTCCATGAAGAGATGGCTAGATCAGTCAAGAGTTTGAATTCATAAAATGACCTCAGGATGCTCTTCTTCCTTCAGTGTTTGTTGTGTTTCCTGTCTGAATCAGTTCCTCCTTGTTTCTGCTCCGCTCCAGATCCCAGAGTACTGTCGTGTGCTGGAGGAGAGTGAAATCTCAGAGCACTGCTTTGACCTCATCTTTGCCTTCGACGAGATCGTGGCGCTCGGCTACAGAGAAAACGTCAACCTGGCTCAGATCCGTACCTTCACAGAGATGGACTCCCACGAGGAGAAGGTGTTCCGGGCCGTCAGAGAGGTAAGACGCTGGATGTGCATGAAAATGGAGAAAAAGGAGAAAAGGACTGCGTCAACGGTTGGTAATGTTTGCAGACTCAGGAACGCGAGGCTAAAGCGGAGATGAGGAGGAAAGCGAAGGAGCTGCAGCAGGCCAGGAGAGACGCCGAGCGCTCTGGGAAGAAGGTTCCGGCGTTCGGCGGGTTCGGTAATGTGAGCAGCATGTCCTCAGGGTCCCTCATCACAGACACCATAGTGGAACCTGAGAAACCCAAGATCACACCAGCTCCAGTCCGGTACGGCACCGTGAAACGCAAAACGGTCCCCAGCTGAGCGTGCAGCTCTCCTCATTGGTCAGGTGATGAGTTGTTTGTTTGTTCCTCCAGATCAAGCGGCCCGAGCAAGGCTCTGAAGCTAGGCGCTAAAGGGAAAGAAGTGGATAACTTTGTTGACCAGCTCAAGTCTGAGGGTGAAACCATCATTTCGTCCTCAGGAAAGAGAGGTTCAGATGTGTCCAAGGTTCTGCCACCGCCAGTCAATGTGGAGAGGTACACACCTCTGGTTCAGAAGAGATTCAGTGTCCAGTTTTCCTAGATTGATTTTCTTGGTTTTGGTCGATCGGCGTTTAAAGCTGCTGCTGTGTGTGTGTTCACTCCTCAGCGTACATCTGCGCGTGGAGGAGAAGATCTTGCTGAGCTGTGGCCGTGATGGCGGCCTGCAGAACATGGAGGTGCTGGGCATGGTGACACTCCGGGTCACGGACGAGAAAAACGGCCGCATCCGCCTCGCCATCAACAACAACGACAACAAGGGGCTGCAGCTTCAGGTGGGTCTGCTGCACAAAACAGGCTGCTGTAGTCCAACTCTATTATTATTACCAATCATATGGGATGCACCGATATGAAAATTTGAGCCAATATTGATCTTGCTGTTCTGGCCAATATTTGCCAATATTGTCTATGTCTCACAACGTTTGCTTCAGTTAAACTCCTTACAATCCATCACGTGCACTGTCACTTCACCAAGCTAACACCACACATATCAGCCACAAATGGAGGAGGATGTGGGGAACAAATATCAGCCAAGTTTTATTTATTGGACTGATGCCAACATGTTAAAAAAAATGACTGATACAGATACTGATGTTGGTGTTCAATCAATCAATCAATCAAATTTTATTTGTATAGCACATTTCAGCATCAAGGCATTTCAAGGTGCTTTACATAATTAAAAACAAAATAAAAACAGCATGTGACATTGAAAAAACAGTAAGAAAGAGAGAGAGTGTTCACACCTATTCATTCTAATACACAACACTTTCAGCAAGCTTCAGGTATTTGCATTTTTTCTTCTTACCATTTTCATTATTGTACTTAATGGTGAATATAATACCTGGATTTGCCAAACTTGAGATTTTGATGTTTATAATTGCGGTAGAAGAATTTTTGTCTGAAAAATATGAAAACAATTTTTTTCTAATGTTTGGAATAAATGAAATTCTCTGAGCACAAAAAACTGTTGGGAGAAGCTTGTTGAAGGAAACCCAGATGTTTGACCAAGTCAAAGGCAATGTTACCAAATACTGAGGAAATGAATGTAAACCTCTAACTTTGAAGATATTAATAAATTATTCTGAGATGTATTATTTCTCTGAATTTTGTGACATTTAGCAAGTAGAAATAACTTTGGTTATTCCAACCAACCTCGATGAGGAGACGTTTGGTCTGATTTAACTTCAGCCTGTGATAAAAGTATTTTTGTATAGTGTATGTAAACTAGTGGTTTCACCTGGTTCTGTATTTATTCTTGTTTAAGGAAGTGTAATGAACTTTAAAACCCAAATAAGTACTAAATCGGTGGTACTTGTACATTAAAATGCACAAAACATTTCAAACAGATAAAACTCTTTTTGGAAATATTCTTTGGCCTAAATGATCAATTCTGCTTTTCATTAAGACTTTCTTTTACATAAGAAAATGTGTTAAAGTGGCTGTGATCTGCCATATTCTACTATTGCTGATGTTCCCTCCTACTTACAGTTCAGCAGTAAAGCTAAAAACCTAAATGATCCACATCCTGTTTGAATTCTGATTGGTAAACTAACTCCAGGTTAAATGCTGTTGGTTTGCAGACGCATCCTAACGTAGACAAGAAGTTATTCACAGCTGAATCGGTAATTGGCCTAAAGAACCCAGAGAAGTCCTTCCCTCTCAATAACGACGTTGGCGTTCTGAAATGGAGACTGCAGACCACAGACGAGTCCCTCATACCTCTAACCAGTGAGTGCATGTTATCCTTCCTGAAGATTACCCAGACTTATTTTAATGTGAGAGTGTTTGTCACAGAGATGGAAATAACTCAGCAAATCTAACTGGAATGTTTTCATTTTCTTTGATAATGTGATTGCTGACTGTAAGGTGCGATCAGCATCAGTTGCGCTGTAACTGTTGGTCCTCAGTAGTCAGAGGAGCACAGATGTGCTGCTGCTCTCTCATTCAGCTGCTCTGTCTCCCAGTAAACTGCTGGCCTTCAGAGAGCGGCTCCAGCTGCGACGTCAACATTGAGTACGAGCTGCAGGAGGAGAACCTGGAACTGAACGACGTCGTCATCAGCATCCCTGTTCCGTAAGCACCTCGACTCTCCATGGTTACGCTCCGGATCACGCCGGTCAAATTCAATACTCTAAAAATAGAACCTTTAGGATTACAGCTGTGTACCTGCGTATTATTTTATCAATCAAATCAAAGCAGTTTTATCTGAATTGTACCTGATTACATGAATGTGAAAAGATGGCTCTTTAATTTATTTAGTATAGACAATGCACATTGTCTATACATTTGTGTAAATGTGCCAGAATTGGCCAAAACACAATTTGTCATCTGTTGTCTCAGTCTGTCCTGCTAAAAACAGAACAAACAAGCTTAAAATGACTTAACTATTAAAAATTCTGTCAATAAATTAAATTAGTCCAAACAATAAATACAAAACAAATAAACTATTATTAATATTTGAAGCCCCATTCAGCTCTAGAAATAAGATGATATCTCTTCAAAAAATAAAAATTAAAACCTACAACAATATAAAAGCCTATCTCATGTCAGAACTGGAAGTGACTTCAGGTCGCTCTCTGTGAGCCAATGAGACGTCTCTGTGTGTTTGACCCTGCTGTGACGGTTTGCGGTCGTCGACATGTGAAGCGTCTGTCGGTCTCCTCCAGGTCCGGGGTGGGCGCTCCTGTGATCGGAGATCTGGACGGAGAGTACAAACACGACAGCCGGCGGAACGTCCTGGAGTGGTGCCTACCAGTCATCGATGCCAACAACAAAACCGGCAGCCTGGAGTTCAGCATCGCCGGGCAGCCCAATGATTTCTTTCCCATCAATGTGTCCTTCGTGTCCAAGCGCAACTACTGTGACATTCAGGTGAGCTCCCAATGAAGGTGCAGTCTTTTCTTATGAAGCTTCGGTTCGGTAGTTTTAGATGAAACGAGTGCAGTAACAGTGGAGATGGTAAAAAGCTGGCACATAGATTGGAAGAGGGAGTTTGAGGCTGCTGAATGAAGAGGTCTGTGTTGGCTCTGTCCAGCTCAGCAGTGTCATTATGTGGTGACCTGGAGCCGTGTTGGTTTGGGAAATGGCTTCCTGCTGAGACACGACCACCAAGCCCTCACACCTGTGAAATGATGTTTCACTTCGAGTCATCCTTGATAAAATCAATGAACTTGTCAAATTTTTGACTTCAAATAACTAGGGCTGCACCAACTTCTTTAATTTGTGGAATTCTGCAATGAAAATCAATTTAATTTTCCTCAGCAAAGGTCTGAAAATCATCCACGGTCTCCTTTTGCTCTGCCTGACAGACCATCAGATCTCTGTGTGCCATTAACAACACTCTCGTCACTGTTGCCAACTCGGCCACTGTGTAGCTCTATTTAGCAACTTTTCAAACAAAAAAGGCTTCTTGAATATTGGTGATCGGCCAGAAAGCTGCAATCGGTGCACCGAGGCCTGTCGCAGTAATAAATTTACTGCATGATAAATTACAATAATTTCCATTCTGATTATATTTTTTGACAGGCAATTCTGTTGGGAGACGTAATAACCCATTTTATATAGTTTTGGTTGTTTTTTATTTCTTTTTTATTTATTTGTTTTTGGTTGTGTTTTATAAATTGAAAATATCTTCCAGTTCTAGTTTGTGTTCTGTACAAAATGATTGTTTTTCTTAGGCTTTGAAAGAGTGAGAGTGAACTTGGATTATTGTACCATCATAAACATAATCCTTGAAAATGGTCTCAAAATAACATTTATTGCTAGTCTTGTTGCATAAACCAATAAATCAATTAATTGCATGAAAAATTAAAACAAATTTTTTTTTTTTTTGAAGACCAATTGTGTGTAGAGACTTTAGTTTCCATTTTCTCCCATTTAGAACAAAGTTGGAACATGTTGCATGAAATGTTGGTTATCACAGACGTGACCATCATGTGACAGGTTAGAGAAATACGAACCAGGTTTTTAAAAAAAATTGTCTGTAATTTTCAATTACATCGATAGAAAATATTGTTTAAATGTTGCAGAAATTCTTCCATGTTAAAGAAAAATAACCCCCTACTTTTTTCTTTTTCTCCTCTCAGGTTACCAAAGTGTCTCATGTAGATGGCGACAGCTCCGTCAGATTCTCTTCAGAAACCTCCTTTGTTGTTGACAAATATGTAATTGAGTAAAAATACTGGAAGAAAATGGCAAAATGAGAAAAAAAAATCACCATTTAAAAAAAAAAAAAAGTCCAAATCTATGCTACAGAGAAAGATCGACGATTTCCAGCCTGCTGCCCCTGTATATCATCAGACTGTACAAGGACAGGACGCCCGCCAGCGCCGTGGAAACGGCACCTCCTGTGGGGAAGAGCAGCAGCAGCAGCGGTGGTGTATTTATGTTTGTATGACAGAGGATCATCTATATATAGAGTTAATTGAACAGGAATAAAACCAACACACAACTTCTCCTTCCACTAATGCTGTGGTGCATAACTGTACAGAGGATGAGTAGAGGATGACTGGGGATGAAGGAGAGGCTAGCTGTGTCAGTAAGTGCAGGACCTTAGCGCTGCTAGCTTAGCTCCGCTCCCTCCCCGATCATCATGCGTCCTCACACAGACGGTCTCTCTCTCTCTCACTGTGGTGATTATGGGATGGGTGCTTTCTTCTCTCCCCTTACTGTAGCTGTCTCTTTCTCATGTGTAATTGTTAAGCTCTTGTGATTTTCACATCTCAGATTTTCAGTTTCCTGGAGAACGTAAACAAAAGCTCGTCTTTTTGTTTCTGCTCTTCTTTTCTCCTGTTGCTCATTCGGACCACTACTCAGCTCAGTGAATTTGGCAGGACGTTGTAAGGGATTCTCAACAACACACCTGTCAGTAAAATCATTAAACTGTTTTTGGAACACCATTAAACCACTCCTCGCCTCGTCTGGAAGGGACGCCATATTTAATTGTGCTCCATTTGAGTTCAGAGATGAAGCTTGAGATTTCACACTTCAAAAGGGTTTAAATCAGATTCAGCCATTTTTTCCCCCCACCTTACATTTCTCCATCAGCGGGGGGCTTACTGCCCCCCCCCCCCCCCCAATGTAGGCTGTAATGCTCATCCACCCAGTCATCCTTTACTTGCATCGTCAAAGAGCGTAAACATTATACATGAAGTAAAATTTGTCTTTTATGTTGTTTTTTTTCTTTTACTTATTCTCCCTCGTTTCCCCCCTATCAATTTCAATTTAGCAATGCTTGTGTGGATGTGGGGTCAACATTGACTAGAAACAACTTTTCATTTTCTTTTTTTAACAAAATTGCAGAAGGGGAATCCTGACATTCCAGTGTAAAACTAGAAAAAAAAGATACTTTAATGGAATAAAATGTATTATTAAAACTGTAAGGTGGACTTGGTCTTAATGAGCTTGAGTCATAATGTTGCTGCTTTATCAAAACATACTTGGATTGTTGCTTTGATTCTTCATGTTTGAGGAATCATTGAATCTCCTTTGGCAACCAGTCAGGTGCCTAAACACCTGCTTTCACCAAGCCCCGCCCACTTACCCAAAGCTCCACCTTGGAGGAGCTGCATCTCCCACCCACAGAGCGGGATCCTCAGCTACTTCAGTTCAGTGCTCCTGTGATTGGTAGTAAGCGGCATAATGACAAGTGCTGTGATGTGCTGAAGGAGTTGGAGACAGAGGCCCAATTCCAAGGTGTCAAATTGTTTTTATTTTTATCTGTTCAACATTTTTATAACTGAAGGTAAAATGGCTCTGTGTGCCTGGAAAATGCATACCGCCGCCCCTTCAAGGAATACAGAAAAGCTAAAGACAAAACCAGCTATGTTCATCATTATACTCCTTCCTGATTGATAGCTTTGGGTTACGTTGTCGTCTCATCTGCACGTCCTCAGTGAGTGATAAAAAAAATCTTCTCAGATGTTATGTGACCATCACAAAGACCCAGAGACGACACGGAATGTGCAACATTCAGGGAGAAGCTTCCACATCTTTTTGAGATTATGAAAAATGTATGAAGGCAGCCATGTTTTAAGTATTAAACAAAGGGTGTGAATACGTGTGTAAATGGGATTTCTTGGTTTTCTGTTTATTACTTTTCCGAAAAATCTCAACTTTTCTCAGCATTGTCATAATGGGGGTATTATGGTAAAATGTTGAGGAAAGGGCTTATTCATCCATCCATGATATAACAAAACATGGAAACGGCTAAGCACCATGAATGATTCCAGATGTTGTACAGGAGTTTTCTGGTTTATAATTTCTACTAAGCTGAACTTTGAAAATTGTTTCTCCAGTTTACCCAGAGTAAAGACCCTAGTTCCACCACAATGGCATCTCAATTTACCTCTAAATCAGAAGCTGCAATGTAGATACCAGCTATAGCAGCATTAGCCACTAATGGTACATAACCATATTTTGTCAAAGCTCTTAAATAACTCGCAGCACAACCATTTGTCATTGATTGAAAAATGAAATTAAACAAAGGAAAACATATTTGGGGAGCAAGTTACAGATCCCTTTTTTCTTGCTGTACCCCCATATGCCATGACTCCCTGGGTAGAGAGCCACATCATTTATACTGAAATGATGTGTGCCAGTGCGCACCAACTCTCAGTTGCTTAATTCAAACTCAGGTTGGCGTCAGCCTTTGTCCTGAAGCCAAGTAAATTTATGTTTGGTGTTCAACCTTTTAAAATAGATGTTACTTTGCTACCTGCTCCATACGCAACGTCAAAGAATCCCGTCAGCAGCCGTGAGGATGAAGGTGAGACATGCTAAGTGGAGACGCTACAGGTCAACAGATGGGTAAATGATGGCGGATGAAAAGGTGGGATCATGGGGCCATTTTGGGGTCATAGGGGTCAGCTGCAAGACAGCAAGCAGCCGTGCCAGGATTGAGGAGGGGGGGGTTGGTGTTAATAGCCAACCATAAACAGAGGGTGTGCTCTTTACGAATGAATGAACTGGCTGATAAAACTCTCAGAGGAGCGGGTGGAGGGGGCGGGCAGACTGTTGTCTCTGTCCTGTTAAAGCACACTGGCAGCGTCACAGCGTCTGTCTGCAGGCTTTGACTGGATCAGGACTGACTGGCTGGAACTTTTTGGTTAATGGAGTTTTGTCCTTCCAGAGTGGAACTAAGGAGTGGAAAACTTCTCTAACATCTAACCCAGCTGTTAGCATCCGCTTCACCTGCTACTGAAGGATGATGGCCAAGAAAGTACGATTCAAGGTATGGAAATCGTTTGAGTCACTGTTTTCTATGGACCACTACCAGCTGTTTTAAATATTAAATATGTATATTTCTGACTTCTCAATGGGAAAAGAGAACACCAACCATCCACCAATGCCAGAAGAAATTGTTGCAACCTGAAACCTTTTGTTTGATATCTCATAATCCACCTGTAAGGTGGAGGTTTTGTGTTCCCTCCCTTTAAGGAGCAGCAGCAGACTCGTGTTGGGTCTCCTGCCTCAGGTTGAGCAGCAGTTCAAAGGGAGAAGCTGCTGCTCCGTCTGAGCGGTGACACCGAGGTGACAATTATTGCTCAGCTCCAGGATCTGCTGCCTCTCACCAACTTTAAAGAGTCAAACAGAGACAGAGTTACATGTCTCTTTAAATGGAAAGCTCCATTTAGAATGTGGAAATGCCAGTGAGATCAGCATCAGTACTCCCACAGTTCCTCCTTTCCTGCCCAAAATGGTTTCAGAGTAATTTTTGCGTGTCTTAGAAATCACAATCACAATCTGGTAACTGATGCATAGAATGCTGATGACATGCTGATTCATGTATCTGGTAAAACTTGCTGCTAATGTCAGATTTACTTATTGTCAGAGTTTTGTGTTTATTTCTGTATTCTAAGAAAACGTCTGTTTTCCATGTAGAACAAATTTGCTTGGATATTAATGCATTTGAAAAGGTTTAAAAGTGATGTTAAAATTATTTCCAACAAAATAAATGACGCTTATCTGGTTAAAGTTCTGCTCAGAGATCAGCTGTTCTGTTCTCAAAGGTGACACTTTTCCTGAGCTGAGTGTTTGTGTTCAGAAAGCACAGCCAAACAGAAATAATGATCTTGTCCTATAGTTCCTTTATAAACAGAAAGACTAATCAGAACCAGCCACAGCTACTTGGTGTGTTTTTCTTTGTTTTGTTGTTTTCTTTTTCCTTTTTCTTTTTTTTGTAAAAATAGGAATATAAGAGTGATGTAGCATTTTGCAGGTTGGACTGATTATTTTAAATTCTATCCCAATCAATGGAAGCTAAAATTAGAGAAAAAAAATATTTCTCTGTTCCATTTTCATAAAAACTCTCACTGCAACATTTTGGCTCAACTCAGTGCTTTCCCCCCACTAAATACTAACAACAATAAGTCAAATAGAAAGTATTTGTGCAACAGTCTCTAGCTTCACTATGTGCAGATTTTTATATCTGCTGACTGGTCTGTCTGCTTCAGGCTTTTGTTGTAGGGCTGTATACCCTGTGCTTACTGAAGAAAAGCATCACCACAGTGTGATGCTGCCACCACTAGGAATGCACAATATATCGGCACCAACATCGTAACTGGCTGATATTCGTCATATTTATCGGCATCAACCCTATAAATAAAATTGGGTCAATTTCATTTCCATCTTGTTGCCATTTGTTTCTGGGGGTGGGGGGCGGTGGTCATGTGGTATTCGTTTGGTCATGTGACTGTGATGCGGCAAATAATTGTGGGGAAGCAAAGAAGCGTTGTTGAAGTCAGCAGTGTGGTCGTTTTTTCAAGGAAAGAGTAGTGAAATATATATATAATATTGGAAAATATTGGTTATCAGCCATTACAGCAATATTGATATTGGCCCAAATTTTCATATGGTTGCATTCCTAGCCACGGCCATGGTGAAATCATGCTGTGGGCTTTCAGTCCCCACAGAAGTCAAGTAACAGACTCAGGTGTCTACTGCCTTCACTCAGCATTTTTATAGAATCAGAAAGTGCATGAAACACTTACAAACATATTTATAGCACTTTAAAGGTCAAAGATAAAGTTTTGATAAAAGTTGAAAGCACTTTAAAGAATGTGTTTTTTTGTTTTGTTTTTTTGTTTTACTTTATGGCCTTTTTAACATCTTTTTCCACTTGTAAGCATCAACTATTTTAAGATCTATAATAGTTTCTTAAAGGTCAAAGTGCACAGTGGAACAGAAGATGATTAGCTGCTGACATTGTGTGATTTTTGGTGATTTTCCTCACAGCACCAACCAGTATCCTGAATGAAAGCCCTCCAGGGAGTGAGGCAGAGGCTGGAAGGAAATTGGACGAATTCTGTATCCATATGTGGAATTTCCTCTCGTTGACTGTTCAAACAGTGGGGAGCTTTTTCTTGGGTTTCTCCTCACACTGCTGTGCCATGTTTCATCCTTCACCTCAGTCTCTCTGGGTTTCCATGGGAATGACAGTCAGCTGAGATCCAGATATTGATC